TTGGTTATAAGATGGGCAGTTATATGAACATTTTAAATAAAAAAGCAAGAGTTCCTCCAGGACTCAAAAGTGGATGAGCTGTTTCCTTTGCCAAACGTGCAAGCTGGCTTTACACAGCCCTCAAGCTGATTTCCCAAAACGCAGCGACTTTGCTCTCCTTATGTGCTGTGCCAGACAGTAAATTCCGGGCTGTGATGTCCAGGCTGCTCCCTATAAAGTGCTAAGAACTGGATACAAAAGCGCTAAGAAAGTATTGTTTAACTGCTGCCCGTTTGTTGATAGCTCAAAACTGGAAGAGTAAAATTCTACCCACAATGGAAGACTGGAGATTGAAAGTTTCGTACCTTGCTGAAATGGCAAAGATTTCGGCTTACTTGAAGAATTACTCAAAGGAACAATTTTTATTAATATGGAGAAGTTGGATTGTTTATATTCAAAAGAAGCATAGAGTGGTGGAATATAATCTAGGTTTTTAGTAAATTTGTTTTTCTTTTTTTTCTTTAATATATTTTACCTATCCATGTAGAATAATACACTTTGTGGAGTTAGAGATATTAATACTTGTTTACTTATATCTGAATATTATCCTGGGATTAGGTTTGGGAAGTCCGGGGGGGTGGGGGTTTTTTCATAGCATTGTGTAATATTTGTGATGTTTTTTTTATGATGAAAATAATAAAAATTTTATACTTGGAAAAAAAAAAAAGCGCTAAGAAAGGTCAAATTCCTCAACCCAATCCGAGCTCCTTAAGTAACCGAACTGGCAAAGCTTGAAAATCACCCCGGTTTTGTTGCATGTTTATTTAAGCCAAATCCATTTGAATCCTTCTCTTTTCAAGACTCTTGGTAGAGTTTAGCTCGAGAGAATGGCCAAATTGACACAACACCCTGAACCACAAAGTTGCCAACTCGGTTTTCGCTTCTGTGTACCATTAATACCCCAAAGGTGCTTTTTCCAAAAGGCAACTGGACGCTCTTGGTTGTTTCCTTGAAAACGTTTTGCTTCTCATCCAAGAAACGACTTCAGTTCAGAGAGAAAAGCGTCTTTGGGACAACCATGAGTGGGAGGATTGAGAAACTCCGTGGATACTTGTGCTTAATAGTTTGTCACTGGAATCAGATCACTTGAATGAACTGAGTAAACCAAGGTTCAGTTCACTGATATAACTTATCAATGTAGGCCAGGGGCTTGCTCTGATCATCTCTGATAAATAAATATGAATTTGAGACTGTGACTCCTAAACCTTTGCCCAACCTGGCATATTTTACATAGATTTGATTAGCACTAACATTCCTGTCTTTGTGCCTGTGACAAAGCATGCTTCTCTTTCTTTTGGAATTCCTGATTGTTTTAATGCCTTCATTAAGCCTATCTGGTGTTGCAGTGTTGAATTCAGGTTTGTTTGCTTCATGCTTTATCTTATCGGTAGCAGCGCAAAGTCTGAAATGGGACCTGGGTGCAGGGGAGTTACAACACAGCCAGCCTGTCGGCTTTTTTTCTCAATTTATCTTTCAGCTTTATTTGAGAGGAGGCCAACTGTAGTGCAAAGTGGCGGAAGGAGGGGTAGGGGGGGTCTCTAATCCCTTGCACCCTGGTTTATATAACTGAAGCTTTGGTCCCTCAAGTCAGTTAAACAAAAATTATCTCCTTTCCCCTTCCTTGAGATATTAACCCTTTTGGAGAAGTCACAACACAGTCAAAGATGGATGGAAACAGAACGACTTTAAAATATAATGCAGGCAGTTCTCGACTTACAATCATTTGTTTAGTGACTGTTCGAAGTTACAACAGCACTGAAAAAAGTGACTTGCGGCCGTTTTTCACACTTATGACCGTTGCAGCATCCCCTTGGTCGCGTGATCAAAATTCGGGCGCTTGGCGACTGACTCCTATTTATGACGGTCGCAGTGTCCCGGGGTCGTGTGATCCCCTTTTGCGACCTTCTGACAAACTCAATGTGGAAGCCAGATTCACTTAACAACCGTGTGGTTAAACCACTGCAGTGATTCACTTAACAGCTGTGGCAAGAAAGATGCCATAAAATGGAGCAAGGCTCACTTAAGAAATGTCTCACTTAACAATGGAAATTTTGGTTCAATTGTAAGTCGAGGATTACTTGTAATCTGAGGCATAAACACGCCCGAACTGATCTGTTTTTGCATCTCACAGCAGGATTAGCCTCTGAGGCAGCGCAGAGCGCGTTTTTCTCGGCCAGCTCCCCAAATCAGCCCTTGGCCTCTGGGAACAGAGCGAGGGTTTCTCGTAACAGGGCGTGGTGCTTCCGAGCAGAGCTACATCTTGGCATCCTTCGGGTTTTTCCTTTCTAGGCACTCAGCACTGTGCATGATAGGCGCATTGTGGCAATAAAGCACATGTATTATTTATCTCCTCTGATGTTCAGCGGCCTCCTCTCCTGTTTCCTGAATGATGCTGGGCTGCTTAAGGCCTGCAGGCTGTCACCCATTGTGTGTGTGTTTGTGTCGAGTAACATTAGTGGGTCTCCTAGTTTTGAGTTGATGTCAGGAGTTTTTAAGGGCCTCCCAACCAGCCTGTTTGGCAGGCCTTGAAACAAAAGCAGATTTGAGGGGTCCTTGATGTTCTCCAAGCTTGGTTGTTTTCTTGCAGACTTTTCATGACCCAAACTAGGTAATATCAGTGCCAGAAGGGAGTGGGTTTGTGGAGAGGAGGGGGAGGAGGAGAAGAAGGACCGTGGGGCCCTTGGTGCAAGTCTCAATGTAAAGCATAGTAGTGATCCACTGCTTATTTGCCAACACGCTGCCCGATTCCAGTTTCTTGCAATTTTGGCTACACAACTTTGCTTTTGCAGCTCTTTAGCCCTTTTAAAGGAAACTTTAGACATCCCCGCACAGCATGCATTTTATAGCTAGCTGGAAGCCATGTGTAGCAGACTCTGGCTAAATTCGCACGTTGATGTAGGATATATTTGAGGATGCATTAGCTGGATGCTTCACTAAGTAATTGGAAATGTCATCATTCCTCAAACCAGCTGTTGCCAGCAGTTTTGTTTTGATGGGGAAAACCAACAAGTTGGACTTTCTGTTCCTGTTCATCCGCTCTCTGCAAGCTGAAAGCTCATTTACCAGATTGAGGAGCCCTGGCTATTCATAACCGTGGCATGAAACAAGCAAAAATATCCAAATCTTAAATTCTACCTTCTCCTTTTGCTGGTTTGCTGCAAAGGCTCCCTGCAGGGAGGGATAAATCCAGCTGTCGACTTGAAGGAAGCTGCCCTGCGGCTGATTTACTCCTAGGGGCTGTATCATAATTAATTTTCTGGAGTTAAAGGGAGGTGGAGTGTAATTCTCTAGGAAGCTGGGCCAAAGGCTTCATAAATCACTCCCTACCTTTTCTGAAGCCCAGTTAGCATATGTAATACTCCGCGATCCATAGTTGAAAGCCAGGATGGCTGAATCTCATTTATTTAACTTTATTCACATTGTCTTAATTTTAAAATAAGTGACAATAAAGTTTTTCTTGTCTTACTGAGAAAATTTATAAGTGGTCCTTGACTTACAACCGTTTTTTAGTGACTGTGCAAAGTTAACAACAGCACTGGAAAAAAGCGACTAATGACCCTTTTTCACACCTACGACCGTTGCAGCATCCCCAGGGTCACCTGATCAAAATTCAGACGCTTGGCCACTGACTCATACTTATGACGGTCGCAGTATCCCGAGGTCATGTGATCCCCTTCTGACAAGCAAAGTCAATCGGGGGGGGGGAAGCTGGATTCACTTAACAACCGTGTGGCTAATTTAACAGCTGCAGGGATTTACTTAAGTGTGGCAGGAAAGGTGATAAAATGGGCAAAACTCAGCAAAGGTCTCTCCTAGCGACAGAGGTTTGGGGCTTAAGCGTGGAAAACGGTTCCAAGTCACTTTTTCAGCGCTGTTGTAACTTCGGACTGTCCTTAAATGAATAGTTGCAAGTCGAGGATTACCTGTACTGACACTGAACCGGCCATCTTAAAGACGGAGAGTGAAACCGTTTTGACCAAGCGGCTGAAATTATCACCTCCGAAGCATCTGCCAAAGCTGCCATCCGAGAGGAAACGGCGGTGGCGGCTGGGAGAAGGATGTGGTTTGCTTTCCATTCATTGACGCGCTTCGCTTCGTATGAGGCACAGCTCCTGTGGTCAACCTCACTTTTCAAGCTGGTTTTAGGGGGAAGCTGCCCTTTTGCCTGCCTTTGAATCTTCCCACACGTAAAGTAAAGTTACTGTTCACATCTTTATCCGTGCATCGGTTTGCACGTCGTAGTTTAAAACTAGGAGAATCAAAGTGGTACTCCGTGATCTTCCAAACTTGGTGGAAGCTGGTACTTAATCGGAGAGGGGATGGATATGAATTCTTGCTTTTCTGTCGGTTTTTCTCAAGACAAAGAGTTTGCGAGGGCAGGTAGTTCCAACCGTTTGTTTAGTGAGCATTCAAAGTTACAACCGTGCTGAAAAAAGTGATGGGTGTGACTTAGCGACAGAAATTCAGTGCTAGAAGGTTTGAGGAAAAGGGGGAGACGGACTATGGGGCTCTTGATGCTCTCTGAGGTTAGTTATTTTCTTGCAGACATTTCATGACCCAACTAGGTAACCTCATCAATGCTGGAAGGCAGCAGTATGCAGAAACTAGCTCCCTTTTAGCACTGATGTTGTCGCCTAGCTGGGTCATGAAACGTCTGCAAGAAAACCACCAAACTCAGAGAGCACCAAGGACCCCACAGTCATCGTCCTCTTCCTCCTCCTCCTCTCCATAAACTCCACTCCCTTCTAACACTGATGAGGTTACCTAGTTGGGTCATGAAACATCTGCAAGGAAACCGCCAAACTCAGAAAGCACCAAGGGCCCCACAGTTCAACCCCGACCTGCACATCTCCTCCTCTAAAAATCCATGAGTCTTGGGGAAGCCTTGTTGCTATCAGCCCTTCCAACGGGATGCAAGTTCCTTTCGACTCCACACTTTGATTTCTCTGTCTCCCCTCCAGGTGACTTCACTGGCCGTCTTCTCGCCTACCTTAGCCTGAGTCCCATCTTCATCATCGTAGGCTTCATCACCCTCATTGTTTTCAAGAGAGAACTACACACGGTAAGTCAGCTTGACTGAAATAGATAAAATTTGCCCCATTGAATGATAACGGCTCTCTTGCGTACGGTTAATCTGATTTTAAATCTCTTTTGTAGATCTCTTTCTTGGGAGGGCTGTGTTTCAACGAAGGCATAAATTGGTTAATCAAGAACATTGTCCAGGAACAGAGGCCTTGCCCAGGTAGAGTACCAGTTGCACACTCACCAACAGGTGGTCTCGTGATTGTGGTCACCACAATGCAGAAAAGATGCAGAGACTCTGGAAAGAGGGCAGAGAAGAGCAACAAAGATGATGAGGGGGCTGGAGGCTAAAACATATACGGACCAGTGAGAACAATTCATCAGTGGAATGGCTTGCCACAAGAAGTTTTGGATGCTCCATCACTGGAGGTTTTTAAGAAGAGACTGGACAGCTATTTGTCTGGAGTGGTCTAGAGTCTCCTGCTTGAGCAGGGGGTTGAACTAGAAGATCCTAACTCTAGGACTCTATATTCTATGGTGTCTGCTAGAAGCCACATTGAGGTCAGACTAAGAGCAAATATGTGTGACGTCCCACAAATGGAATTGATTTCCACTGTTTTCTTTCGGTCTCCGCAGAAGTCCACCCGTCGGTCTACTCGAAGTACGCCATGCCTTCCAGCCATTCTCAGTTTATATGGTTCTTCTCCGTCTATTCGTTCCTCTTCCTTTATTTAAGGTCAGTTGTCAATCTGAGGGTGGAAAGTTTTTTGGGTCGGTTATGTGGGTGACCCAGTTTATAACTGCCATGAATTGTGTCTCTGCTGGGCAGGCTCCATCACGGGCCATAACATGCCTGTATATCTGCCTGGGAGAAGCACAGATGGAGGAAGGCTGCATCTAGCTTTGGGCGTCCACTTTTCAGGGCTCGGATGCGCTGTTTCTTAACCCCTTCTTAAGAGGCTTGTTTCCTCTCTCCCAGGATGCACCAAACCAACAATGCCAGGTTCCTGGACTTGCTGTGGAGACACCTGTTGTCCGTCTGCCTTTTAACCTTGGCCTGCCTAGTCTCGTGCAGCAGGTATGTTGGGGGGTCTTGTGATGGTGCCTTTCTGCTCCCAGATGGCCGCGAGTCAATTGCCTATCACAACCTTGAAAACAAATTTTAAGGTGCGTGGACTCCAAGAATTCCCCAGCCAGGGAATTCTGGGAGTTGAAGTCCACACCATCTTAACGTTTCCGAGTTTGGAAACGCTGCTCTTCGTAGCGCGTTCTAGGGGGAAAAAGAGGGCTGGGATTCTTGGTGAGAACTCTGGTCTTTTCAGAGAGAGAGAAAGAGCTAAATGTCTTCCTCGCTTCCTTCCTTCTTGATAACCCCCTTTTTCTTCCCCCTCTTAGGGTTTACTTAATGTACCACACCTGGAGTCAAGTTGTCTACGGAGGTTTTGTAGGAAGCTTCATGGCTGCCCTTTGGTTTCTCTTCACGCAGGAAATCCTAACGCCCTTGTTCCCGAGGATAGCTGCATGGTAAGCCCATCTTTCCCTGCTCCGCAGTTCTTCTAAACTAAAAATGCCACTCCATGTAGATGGTGGGGATGTACAAAGTTATTTGACTCAGCAATGGGGGCCTTCCAGGGAATGGTGGGAATATTCCAGAGGACTCCAGAGCATTCCGTTTCTGCCTGGATCGTGCCAACCTCTTCCTGGACCGAGCCATTCCCACTTTGGCCTTTTCCAGAGGGAATCCTTCAAAGGGGAGGCGGTTTGAGGTGGTATGATCAGAATCCGGCCCCAAACCAGGTCTGATTTGTCTGGGACACCGTCTCTGGAATTTGCTGAGATCAGAGGATTTATTTTCAGAAACTACTCATCACTAAACAAACGGTTGTCACTCAAGCCATTCTCACAAATGTGATTTTGGTGGGATGTTTCTTTCAAGCCTCGCATGACAAAGCTTGCTGAATGCTTGGTGCTTGTCACAATAGCCTGAATTCTAGCACTGATTTTGGGGCCGATTCAGTGGAAGAACTTAAAAGGATTTGGCCACATTTTGGCTAACTTACTTTCCTATCTTGCCTTCCTGCCTTTTCTCTTTAAGGCCGTTATCCGAGTTTTTCTTAATCCGAGACACCAGCCTCATCCCCAACATCTTATGGTTCGAATACACAGTCAGCAGAGCAGAAGCCAGGTAAGCAGCCGTCAGCCCTGCGAGGTAGTCACGGAAAGGTTACGTTCACAGAAACGGGCAAGTCTGGAAGCATTCCTCCCCTCCTGTCCTTTTACCACCTGGAACGGTGGCTCACCTGGTTGGAGGTCAGCAGGCCTGTGTTCGAGCCCCGAGTACTGCGGTGGGGTGAGCTCTCGTCCTTCGCTCCAGCTCCTGCTGGGGACACGAAAGGGGCCTCCAGCTGGGCCTCCCCCAGGTCTTCTAGTCCAGCCTCCTACTCAGACAGGAAACCCTGTAACGTTTCAGACAAATGGTTGTCCAGTCTCTTCTTAAAAACTAGGCGCCTCCAGTGGTGGTGAGGTTTGGCCCAACACCCTTGACCCTCGTCCCGTTGCTTCTCTCGTAGGAACCGACAGCGTAAGCTGGGCACAAAGCTACAATGAGCGCCGAAGTCTCCGGCATTTGACTACGCAGTTCTGTATCCCGGCAGGCTGGAACGGAGACACCTGCGCAGATCTTTGGGGATGTAGCCAGGCGCCTTTTTACGGGACGGATCGATGCCATCGGGCAGGGACCACCACCGAAGACCCCAGAGGCCTTTTCCAATGCGCTGGATCAATCCTGCTGCATGCCGAGTCCATCCACGAGCAAAAACCCCATTTATATATCGCAGGCGCATAGCGTTAGACCGGATGCTACCCTGGGAAGCACCAGGAAGCAATTTTGGGGAGGGGGGGCAGAAGCACCGCTAATTCGGATGGGGGCGGAGAGGCCTGAGGGGGCGAAACGGGCCGTGGGCGTAGTCCATCCACTCCAGCCGAGCTTGATTCAGACATCGGTCGGTAGGTTAAGACCTGTGAATATTTAAGTTGGGGCCTGGAGGGACCACATGCGCCTTGGGGGACACGCCCGATACAGCTCTGTGACTTTTCTATTGAATTTCTTTTTTTAACGAACAAAAAAAAAAAAATCAATTTGCAGCATGCAATCCACACACTATTTATATAATCCTGGGTTGTCCAGTTTGCCGAAGGGGATCGGCGGAGGCCGGTTTGAGGCTGGTTTTCGGGGGGGGCAGCGGCCAGCTTACTGCCACTGAAAAAGAGTCGGGGGCAAAATTAATAAAAAGTTAAGAGAGAGAGAGGGAATTCTGCATTTTGTTTAAGCCAGGGGTGTCCAGCCTTGGTGGCTGGGGAATTCTGGGAGTTGAAGTCCACAGGTCTTAAAAGTCTCCAAGATTGGACCTCTTGGCTTAAGCAGTCTGCAGATTGCTGTGCATAAAAGTGCTTTTTCTACACACTAAAGCAACCCGACAACCTTAATTAAAGGATCTGCATGTGCTGATCAATACAGCAGCAGCAAAAATAAAATAAAATCCACAATGCTTTTTTTCTTTTTAATCAGACCCTGGTACTGAGATTACTTAAACGGGGGTTCTTTCTGAGTGCTGAATCCCATGACTGTAATTCCTTTCCTTCCCTTTCTCTCCACTCCTCCGATCCAGAGTTAATCCCAAACTCGGTTTTGCTGGCTTGAGGGAAGGCCCACCAACGGGAACACCCCCGTGTTCGGTGGCGAGCGATGGGGACTGTAGTCCAGCGGAATTAAAATGCACCTCGCGAAAGGAGGCTAGTTTAAAATGATTATTCCCCCCGCCACCCCTTCAAAACTTTTAAATACTCAATAAACGTGTTTTTATGGTCGCGTTCCGCCTGGGAGAGTGTGCTTCCTGCAGCTAATGGGACGGGATGGGCGCTTTTGCAAGCCTTGATTGGGGAGATCGTATCATGGGCTGTTATAAACCAGGAGGGGAATCTGTGCATTCACTCAGAAAAGAAAGATCTGAACGGCGTTCTTTTCCCATCTTTTAATTGGGATATATTTATATTTATTATATATAGCTCCATTTCTCTGCGTCTTTCAAGAGCAAGGCATCTTACTAAAAATCAGTGTAATACAATTTACAGTCCAATCACACAAGCATTGGGCCAAAGTGCTAAAAAACCAAACAAGCAAGAATTTGGCAATTCTTCATTAAACAGTGCAAAATCTCTGTTGTGTTAGGATAATATTAGGACAGGCAACATTTTGGTGCAAAATCTCTATTAGGACAGGCAACATTTTGGCTGCTTTAAGACCTTAAAACTTGCTGACCAGCTTCCATAGATATTTCAGGAATATTTAAAAAAAAATAAATTCCCAGAATTCTTAGCTGGCACCATATTTGGGACTCCTGGGAATCTCCCTATTTAAGGGGTGCCCGAATTAACCCATATTCTGAGCGCGGGAACGCAGAAAAGCAAAAAGGTTGAATTCAGACAACAGGAACCGTTGCAAATACTCAAAACAAAGTTGAAACTGGCAAGCTTAGCATGTTGTACGAATGTGGCACAAAGCGTGGATCATCCTTGTCCTGTCTCTAATTCTCATTACTTTTACATATTTATAAAAAAAAACCATTCTAAACCAGTGTTTTTCAACCTCAGCAGCCGTGTGGCTGGCTGGGGAATTCTGGGAGTTGAAGTCACCTATTTTAACAGCTGCTAAGGTTGAGAAACACTGCTCTAAACGCTATATTTAAAATTACCCACCACATTTGCCTTTCAATGTACAGCACGTTAAAAACTTTAAAGCTAACGTATCAACTTACAACTTGTAAACCACTTTACATTTTATCCCTGGAAGCAGGCAATATAAGGCACTTCTGTGACTCAAAAGAGTTTCGGTTGATGCGCTTCCTTCCATCAACTCGCCGGATCTCATGAACATCTTGGCGAATGCTACCTGTGGGGAGAATTTCCCTCATCCTTCTGGAAGGAACTCATCACCCAAATCTAATTTGGCACTCTATGAATTCTCTTACAACATGTTGGCCACTGAGCTGTGTTGGTAGCACAGCATGGAAGGAAGGAAGGAAGGAAGGAAGGAAGGAAGGAAGGAAGGAAGGAAGGAAGGAGAAACAAGGAAGAAAGGAAGAGAAAAGGAAAAGAATGTAAGGAAGGAAAGGAAAAGAAAGAAAAAGAAAAGCTGTATCTTGGTTTTTCCCTCATCTTAGAAACTTAAAACATTTTATTATTCAAAATGCGGGCATGAAGGTTGGCTTTTTGCCATGCCACAACTGTCGGTCTTACGTTTACATCTTGTGACTTAAAATAGTTATCCTGGTTTGGGTAGCCAGAATCCTAGCCAGCAATAGCCAATCAGCAAAGGAAGCTAAAAAACTGAAAGAAATCGGAGGCTAATCTCCCAACAAATATATATATATATATATATATATATATATATATATATATTTTAAAAAACAAAAAGCTTATCATTTAATGAAATAACATCTATTGGCACAGAAAATCCTAGACAACGTTGGCATTTTCAAATGCTCCTTAGTACGGTATCAACTCTAGCAGGACAACTCTCTGGGCCAATTTTGTAAGATCAAAGAATCCGCCGTTGGTCCAGGAGGAGGACGAGATGGAGAAGGAAGAGAAGGACAAGGAGAAAGGATGATGATGATGGGGGAGGAAGAAGAAAAGGGAAGGAGTAAGCAATCTTTATCATCAGACAATGAAATGGCTCTACCATGAAACCCATCATACTGACGGATGCTATGAAATTGACTTGTCTATTCACGTGGAGAAAAAACATTGTGCAAAATCCCGGGCTAAAATTCTCAGGAGGCTTTGAGCCAAGACCTTCTCTTTCAAGCCAGCATCCAACCAAGATCCCCTTCAATTCAGGAGCCCCCCTCCCCATTCTCCCTGCGAAAACGCTCTTAAGGCACAGACTGATGTGAGCGGAGGAAAGGTGAGCAGGGAGAGGAAGGCGGATGAGGCAGGGGTATCTCCCCTATTAAGTGGTGGAGTTCATTTCCGTCCCGCAAACTCATCGCAACAACGAAAAGTCTTCCATCCTTCGGGGGAATCCAGGGTCAGGATGAAGGCCACCCAGCTGACAGTAAGTTGAGCAGGCAGTTCGCCTCTCCAGGGCTTCCCCCTCTTAAAGTTTGGACTTGGGGGTGGACTGGAGCAGAAGCCGCATGTCCAGCAAGGCCTGTTCCAAGTAATGGGCCAGCCGGGCAGCGTTGGTTTCGCTGCAGCTGTTGAAGGCCGAGACGGCAAAGTTGATGTGCTCCTCCATGGGGTTGTAGCAAACGCCGTAGCCGTCTGGCACCACCGGGCCAAAACACATCACACAGTCTGTCTTGGCGGGAACCTGCCGGGAGGACAATTTGGTCTAGTGGTTAAAGGTACCGAGCTAGAAACCAGGAGATGGTGAGTTCAAGTCCCAACTTAGGCATGAAAGTCAACTGGATGGACGATCTTGGGCCAATCGCCAGGAGACAGCGAGTTCTAGTTCCGCCTTGGGCATGAAAGCCGGCTGAGTAACTTTGGGTCAATCCCTCTCTCAAAGCTACAACAGCACAGGGCTGTTGTAGTGGGAAAATGGGAGGAGGAAGGGGTGTTGGATAGGTCTGCTGCCTCAAGTTATTTGTAAAAATAATAAAGGCAGGATACAAAATTAAAAGTAAATTAAATAAAGAAACAGAGATGATTTAAAGTGGGGGTCCTTCCCCCATTCTGGCTTTTCTCCCACCCCCTCAAACTGGTGACCCCATGTACGACCATCACCACTTAAAACCTTGATGGGCAAGCTCCATTATGGTCATAAGACAAGGACCATCTGCAAACTTCCAAAAATACACCACGAGGGACGGCTTGGAGGCCATGCATGAGCGCCCGATAACACCAAAGGACCCAACCCCCAAGGGCCCGATCCACGGCAACGCCAGCTCACCTGGCTGGTGGAGAGGTTGAAGTGCATGGCCACGGCGTAGGCGGTGTCCATGAAGAGTTCAGGAATGCTCACCAGATCCTCGATCGCTTGAAGCTTCAGGCCCAAAAGATGACGATCAATCGCATTTCCCTTTATGGCCTACGGGAAAGAGAGAGAGGAACCCGCAAGGGAACAACGTCGCTGCTCAGAGGTTTGCCACTGAAAGGGACAGTGTGGGGGCAAGGGAGGGGTCCCTTGGTGCTCTCTGAGCTTGGGAGTTTTTATTTATTTATTTATTTATTTATATTTGGATTTGTATCCCGCCCTTCTCCCGTAGGACTCAGGGCGGCTGACAATCAATTAAAAACATAAATAACAGTACAATTTAAAATTTAATTAAAAAGAATATTTAAATATTTGTCAAATTTAAAATATAATTAAAACCCCTCTAAAAATTACCCTAGGCCAGTCCTGCAAGTTGGAACAGCCAAGTCTTGAGGGCGCGGCGAAAGGAAGGGAGATCAGGGATAACCCTGATCTCTGGGGGCAGTTCATTCCAGAGGGTGGGAGCTCCCACAGAGAAGGCCCTCCCCCTCGGGGTCGCCAGCCGGCACTGCCTGGCTGACGGCACCCTGAGGAGACCCACCCTGTGGGAGCGTACTGGTCGATGGGAGGTGANGCCCACCTGTATGTTGTCCGCAGTCATGGACTGGACAAACTTCAGCACATCCACGGAGGTCGAGCGAATGGTGTCCGTCCGCCCGAGACGGAACATGCGAAGCGAGGCGCTCTCGTAAGTGGAGCAAAGCTCCCCATACATTCTAAAAACGCCACAAGAAACAAAAGCAAACATGGGGAATGTGAAATGTACGCCTCCCCCACCCGAACTTAAAACTGGCTTCCGAAAAGGGAAGGAGCAGTTCATGGAAGGGGCCAGGGATCCAGGAGGGCAGTTGGGCCACCTCTGAAGACATCCGCTGGGGGATTGGTGGCTTCTCTTGGGCAGTTGGTTAAGAATATAAGGAGGGCCCTGCTGGATTAGACTTGGGTGTGTTCTTACAGTGGCTCACCAGCTGTTGAAAGGAAATCCACCACTCCCAGCAGGTGGGAAGAGGAGGAGGAGGAAGAGAAAGAGAGCAGGACAAGAAGCAACGGATGGAAACTAATCAAGGAGAGAAGCGACCTAGAACTAAGAAATTTCCTGACTGATAACAATTAACCAGTGGAATGGAAGTTGCCTCCAGAAGTTGTGGGTTCTCCCATCACTGGAGGCTTTTATGAAGAGATTGGACAGTCATTTGTCTGGAACGGTATAGTGCTTCCTGTCTGAGCAGGGGGTTGGACTAGAAGACCTCCAAGGTCCCTTCTAGCCCGGTTATTCTATAACATAATAAATCCATCCAAGCCATTCAGATCACCAGACCTGGGAAAACCGAACCCAGCTCCCTATTTACCTGTAATAAGCCAACTGCAAAGCGATTTGAATAAAAGCATCCGGACTGATCTTCTCCGACTTGGGAAAATTTTTCCCAAACTGGTGGAAAACGATGACTTTGATATCCAGATCTTGCACCATGCTGCAGAAAAAGGACAGAAAACGGATCACACAAGGGCTCCTTAAGGATCCTTTACAACTTATGTCCACAACTGAATCACTCACATGTTGAGATTCTGCTTGGCGTCTTCAATATCGTTCTTGATTTCCGGGGTGATATTAAACCGTAGTTTCTTTGGCATCGGTAACGGGATCATGGGGGATCTTACAAGCTCTGGCTTCTTTCTACCAAAAGCAGCAAGGATATAATTGAAACATAGGGGGGAAAATGGATTTTTTAAAGAAAGAGGATCAGGGATCCCCTGATTTTTAAATTAGAAACGTGTGTTGAAAACACAAGGAAGTATTTACTGAAGAGTGAATATCGCCCAAGAAAGACATGCTGGCTTATTCGAAGACCATCCTGGATCGGTTGCCAGAAAGGAGGAGAAAAAAAAGAAAACTATCTCAAAGCCAAGCTGCCTTACGTGTACTCCACAATGTGATCCAGCAGAGCCACAATGGGGGGGCCCTCAGACGGAGCATGTTCGTACATCAATCCGCAGGATCCATCTTCCGCCACGATAAACTGCAAGGAAAAATCCAGATGAAATTGGGCATAGATGCCCAAATAAGGAATCGTGGTTTGTTGGCTATGTGGCTGCAATACATGACCTTTCTTTCTTTCTTTCTTTCTTGATATTTTACTCTTTTTTAGAATCATAGAATCCTAGGGCTCTAAGGGATCTAACCCCCTGCTCAAGCTGGAGACCCTACACCAAAGGTCCCCAACCGTGGCCACTTTATGACTTGTGGACTTCAACTCCCAGAATTCTTCAGACAGCATGGGAGTTGAAGTCCACAAGTCATAAAGTGGCCAAGGTTGGGGAGCCCTGCCCCACACCATTCCAGACAAATGTCTGTCCAGTCTCTTCTTGAAAACCTCCAGTGATGGAGCACTCACAATTTCTCCATGTCTGCACAGAAACCTCGTAACTCATGCCAAGTTTTAGACAAGGTGGGGGCAGGTGTGCCCTTGCCGAGTTACCTGGAGGGTTTTGTCAAACCAGCGGTTTCCACTATTCCAACGACTCCCTCCTCCGTGCAACATCTGGGCAGCCACTCGGCTCTTATAAACGTCGTCTGAGACCCGAGGAATTGGGGCGTCCAAGCAGACGGTGAAGATGCTCTTTTCAATTGTGCGCACAGATTCCTTGTTCGTCTTGTCTAGAAAGGAAGGAAACGCTCCATCAGCCGGGAAGACACCAACACACACAGAATAACAGCGTTGGAAGGGACCTTGGAGGTCTTGTAGTCCAACCCCGTGTTCAAGCAGAAGACCCTATACTATCTCAGTCAAAAGATTGTCCAGTGATGGAGCATCCACAAATTCGGAAAATTCTCTTTAATTCTCCTAAACAGAACATAGAATAATAAGGGTTGAAAGGGACCTTGGTGGTCTTCTAATCCAACCCTTTCTCAAGCAGAAGACCCTATATCATCCTGGACCAATGGCTATCCAATCTCTTCTTAAGAACCTCCAGTGATGGAGCAACCACAACATCTGGAGGCAAGCCGATCTAGTTTATTGCAGGGGTCTTCAAACTTGGCCCTTTTATGACTTGTGGACTTCAACTCCCAGAATTCCTCAGCCAGGCACGCTGGGCCAAGTTTGAAGACCCCTGCAATAAACTGGATCGGCTTGCCTGGTTTATTGTTTCAACTGTCAAGAAACTGCTCCTTACCTCTAGGTTGGATGTCTCCTGGATTAATTTCCATCCATTCCTACTTATTCTGCCTTCAGGTGCTTTGGAGAATAGCTTGACTCCCTCTTCTTTGTGACAACCCCTCAAATATTGGAGGACTGCTATCATGTCACCCCCAGTCCATTTTTTCATTAGACTAGACATACCCAGTTCCCTCAATGGTTCATGACAAGCAATTGATGGTAACCCATGTGGGGTCTCCCTGGGAGTAAGTGGTGGGTGTTGACCTTTGATGAGGTTGTTGTAGGCTTTGGCCCAACTGTTGCGATGGTTGCTTGTCAAAATCCCGATGGGCTCCTTGTTGGTTTGAAGGGATGTATTCCAAATCTTCTCCAGCTGGATAAAAATCTGATCAGTGGTCAGGGGGCTCCCGTCGCTGCTGTAAACATCCAGTTGAAAGAACTGGGAAAAAAAGGAGAACTGATGATGTTACCTAGTAGGGTCATGAAACGCCTGCAAGAACCCAGTTCAAAGGGTCACCTGCCCACCTGAAAGTTGTGAACCACGGTGATGTGGGTGGGCGATTTCTTCCCCTGGGCGTAGTTCACCACCGAGTCGCGTTTGGGGCCCGGGATGCGGCAGGACGATAGGATCTGGTAGTACTGATTCATGCAAAGAGGCTTCCCGCCGAGATATTCCACAGGTAGAGTTTCGCTGGAGAAAAAAAGGTGAAAGAGAGGGTAGCAGAAAGCAAGGTGTCTAGTGAGACGTGGCTGACCATCGTGTCAAGGCTACAAACATCTGGAATTTGGAAACGGCTTTTGAAAAGTGTTTGCTTGGGGCAGCTACAGAGGGTGGGGAAAAGCACGGAAGAGGAAACAATAGGCTTCGTTTTTTGATTGAACCGGACTCTTCCCCAGGTGTTAAGAGTCTGTGGGAATGGCTCAGGCAGACAGAAGGAAGAGCTGCAGGCGAGACAATTGGCAGGACAGGAAGGATAAAAGTTCCAGTAGCTGAGCTCACACATACATGTGGCAATGGGGGAGTGGAAGACGTCCTTCATGTCCTATTAGCTGCAAGGTCTACAGGGATATCAGAGCAACTCTTGGCAGTCCTCAGCTTACGACCACAACTGAGCCCAAAGTTTCTGCCGCTAGGTGAGTTTTGCCCCATTTAACGACCTTTCTTGCCATGGAATGAACGCAAAGGACGTTAAGCCCCTCGGAGATCGAACAAGGCCTTCCAACTCACTTGTCAACCATCGTCTTGAAGTCCAGAGCCCCCTCGATCATCTTGGCCGCAAACCTGAAGGAGTCACAAGCAAAGAGGTCAGGAGGGACGGCGGGAGGCAAGGGGGCTCTCTGGTTTCAGGCTGGGGTGGAGGAAGCCACCAAGGTCAGCTGCCCGATGTGACAGCAGCCTGAAACTCTCTGCCAAATGGAGCAGGGGGCTGCTTGGCTCAAATCTCCGCAGAGGTCAACGGGGACAAACGCTCCCAGGAAGCGTTTGGGAACAGCTTCCCTCCGGTAGCTGTGGGTGCTCCAACACTGGAGGTTTTCAAGAAAAGATCGGATTTGTCCGGAATTGTATGGAGTCTCCTGCTTGAGCAGGGGGTTGGACTAGAAGACCTCCAAGGTCCCTTCCAACTCTGTTATTCTCTTATTTAAACACAGCCTGCGTGCAGTTTTGGAACTTTGGACCACTAGATTTTTTTTCCCCCCACCAAGGATCCAGATATTTTTGCAACAGATGAGCTATTCCAAGCCATGTAATTTTTTTTATGTGTGTGACATAGACAGGATCCCAACTTGTGTATTAAAATTTTATCCATCCCTATAATATCCAAATATTTTTCCAGATTTTTCGACATGACACCTCTGGATCTCTCAGACTACAAGTCCCATCAACCCCAGTCAAGGATTAAAGGCTGGAGGGGGGAGGGGGGCTTCATTCCACATGCTGATGCACACTGACCTCCTTCCCCCCCCCAAAAAAATGCCTGTCTGTTTGCAAAAAACGCCTTCAGTTTTTTTCTAGCCATGCCCAAGCAGCACCCCGCTGTCTGGGTGACCTTTTGCTGGGGGAGGGGGCCCTGCTAGGCTGTGTGTGTGTGTGTGTGTGTGTGTGTGGTGCGTGCGTGTGACTGGAGCCGGGCCTGTCAGGGAAAGGAAGGACGCTGCAGGAGAAGGAAAATTCCTTTTTGATGCCCTCACCCCTCGCTCTTTCCTTGCATTGGCTGGTATTTTTAAATGCAGTCCAGAAGGAGAGGAAAGGTGAAAGGGGGCTGGTGGGCTAGTGAGGGAAAGGTGACCCCCCCCTTCTGCAAAGATCAAATATCCCCCCTCACCACCACCCCTTTTTTTGGCGTTCTCAATCAGGGGCAGCCCACAGAGGAAAGATAAAAATACTAGCAGCAATTAGATGATTTGCAAACCAGCGGCATCCAAAATGCATACTAGAAGGAGGTTACCTTCTGCTCTGAAAGAAGAACTGGATTCGAAATGCCCTGGGATCTACAAGCAGCAGCCTTCCACTGTACCATCAAGCGGATGAAAGACTGTGCAGGCAGTCCTCAGTTTACCCACAGTGCATTTAGTTGACCGCTCAAAGTTAGGGGGCCTTCCAAAAAAGTAACAAGGTGGGGACCAACCTTATCTCGGAGGGAAGGAGCCAGCCACCACTCAGAAGGCCCTGCTTGAAAAATTACAGTTTTCACCTCTGCAAATGGACTTTTGCAGCAATGAGGTTCAACCACAAAACTAAGGAGGCTCACCTTAGTTGGCCTTGCCGATCCAGGAAATCCTGTTTGGGCAGCACCACGCCAGGGCTGGAATGGATGACCACCGGCAGCCGATACTCCAGATACGCCGTTTTCAGCCACCAATCTGAAAGCTCGGTTGAGAAGGGAGAGCATGCAATAAGTGGAGCATCGACGTATTAATAGAATATTTGTAGCTCACGGTTGACCTGAGGGGCCCTGGATGCTCTCTGTGGGTTTTCTTGCAGACGTTTCATGACCCAACTAGGTAACAACATCAGTGTTCGAAGGGAGTGGGGTGTCAGGAGAGGAGGAGGACTTTGTGGTCCTTGGTGTTTTCTGAGCTTGGTGGTGTTACTAAGGTTTTATAAAGCAGTGCTAGAATTTCACATGATCTTGATCCTATCCATCTGTCAATGCAGACTAGGATTGTGTTGGCTTTTTTGGCTGCCGCCGCACACGGCTAGCCCATATTTAAGTGACTGTCCACCAGGACCTCGAGGTCCCTCTCACAGTTACTGATTAGAAAGGATCTCTAAAACCCCCAAGGTGCTTTTCCAAGAGGCAACTCGACTTTCTCGTTTTTCCTTGAAGACGTTTCACTTCTCATCCCAGAAGCTTCTTCAGCTCTGAGCTGAAGATGAGAAGCGAAAGGTCTTCAAGGAAAAACCAAGAAAGTCCGGTTGTCTCTTGGAAAAGCACCTTGGGGGCAACCCTGACCTGGATGACTGAGCATCTCCACAGACAGATCTCTAAAACCCAACACACTTTTCCCCCAGGGCTCGGGGTCCCACCTACCCAATTCTCGTTCTTCCGCGCTCTTCTCTCCAGCCCTTTCTGCAGCCGCTCTCCGACGCCGCCCGGCTTCCGAAAATCCCGCACCAAATCTTTGGTGTGGCCGAGTTCGTCCTCACTAATGATGGGCTCCAGCATTAGCAGGTAACGATCCAAAGTCTGCTGCAGGGGAGGGACGGGCAGGTGGGGCAGGCCCTCCTGGTGGGTCAGATAGCGGCCTCGCAGCTTCCGTAACGCCACCGGCTTCAACCAGCTGGACGGTTTCGCCTGCAACAAGGAAGAAAGGTATGGAAGACAGACGTTTCTCTCTACATTTTTTTTCTTATTTGTGGTCTGGTTTCTTCCTGGTTTCTCATTTTTGCCTTTTTCCCCCCCTTGTCTTTCATTTCAGGTTATGGTTTGGTTTGTTCCTTTAACAACACCCAACATTTCCTAACCTGTCAATGAAATAGTTAGACGACGTGCTGCCAAATCCATACTCAGCAGTAAGGTGAGCAGGGTAAAAATACCGAAGCTGGTCAGCACTTGTAGAAACGCAAACAAGAATTCAGAAACAACAGGGTCATTTTGGTGCTAAGATTCTCTCTCCGGTATTTCACATTTCCCGCATGACGTGACACGTAATGCTTTGGGCTTCACGCCCTGAGCAGCATGAGGGCTGAGGGAGACCTTGCCAACCTCCAATCTGGATTCTGAAAAGCAGGCAGGGAAGGAAGGAAGGTTACTTGCTCGCCTTTCAAAACACAAACGGTCTTAACAGAATAACAGAGTTGAAGGGACCTCAGAGGTCCTCTAGTCCAACCCCCTGCTCGAGCAGGAGACCCTAGACCATTTCAGACATGGCTATCCGGTCTCTTCTTAAAAACCTCCAGCGATGGAGCACCCACAGCTTCTGGAGGCAACTGATTAATTGTTCTCACTGTCAGGAAATTTCTAGGTTGAATCTTCCCTCGATTACTTTCCATCCCTTGCTTCTTGCCCAGCCTTCAGGTGTTCTGGAGAATAGCTTGACCCCCTCTTCTTTGGGGCAGCCCCTTGGAACTGGGAAAGAGGCAAATGCAATCCCAAGGCCTGTAGTTTTCAACCCATATCATGGTTTCTTCTCAAATTCTTCAGACTGACCAGCTGATAAAAGCCAAAATGTTTGGTTTGTATCTCACCACGATTTCTCCACAAAGGCGGGGGGCATCAAAGCAATTCTCTCTGTTCTTTTATGCCAACACCGTTTTTCCCTGCCACGTATCTGAAAGCTCCCCAAATAATCCCCTAACAAAACAAGCCAACCTTTAAAGGATTTCTTGATATAACAGTAATCCCGGTTTGATGCTTATACATTTTAGTTCCGGCTAATTATTTACTTTGGTAATTGATCAGCCAAAGCCTGCAAAAAAGCCAACTAAAAGACACGTACGAAGGTTTTGTTTTTAAGGCACCTTCTCTAACGGGGGTCACTGCCTAATCCCAACTGAAATTAACAAAGCAAAATTAAACCACAGTTGCAATTAGAGAAAAGCAATACAATCAATATCCACCGTAATTTGTTTATAGATGCGCTAAAAATACATTTATACGGCTGCAATTCCCTAACAAAGCTGATGCTCCTGCTTTTAGATAGTCCTTGACTTACAGCCATTTGTTTAGCAATGGTTTGAAATGACAACAGTGCTAGTCCTCGCATTTATGACCACTGCAATCTCTCTGTGATCACGTGATCAGAATTTGGGTGATTGCCAACCAGCATCCATTCACAACAGTTGCAGCATCCCGGGGTCAGGCTGTTTGCCGTTTGCGACCTTCCCAGCCGGCTTCCGACACGCAAAGTCAATGGGGGACACTGGATTTGCTTAACAACCGCTGCACAATTCAATTAACAGCCATCTCGCTTAGTGTCAAAAGCTCCCATCCCAATTGTAGTCGTAAGTCAAGAACTACCTGTAGTAATAAAATTGGCAACAAAGCAGCCCTGTTATGTAATTTGACTAATCACACAAGCACACACAAAGCCTTCCCAGGCATCTGAGGAAGTAAATTACACGACCTACAAGCTCAAAATCAGGAACTTGGTAGCCTCTTTGCTAAATAACAAATGTTATTACAATACAAGGCTTGTATTCTATTGCATTTTGATTTATTATTTACTAAATGTTTGTGCCGCCCATCTCCCCTATTAAGGTGAAGTTGGGCGGCTTACGGATTATAAAAAAAAGGCAAATAGAAAAAAAGAATAAAACAATTAAAATTATACAGGTTTAACTGTTAACAGATTGAACAGATTAATTTTTAACAAGATTAAAAACTACCCCATTTTAAATCCTATCTAGCCACTCTGTGCCATTGTTTGAAGCCAGGTGTACCCGCAAAGTTGTTCACCGTGTCAAGTTGGCAAAGAGAAACGGGTTGGAAAAAAAAAAAAAACCCGAACAGATTTTCCCTCCCAATTAAACTAATTTTATTACATTTTGTTTGGGAGGGGAAAAAAAATCTGTTTGGTTTTTTTTTTTTTTTTTTTTGCCACCACAGACCCAACCAGTTTTGTTCCTCCGATGTCTCTCCAGTTCAAGGTGCAATTTTTGAAAGCAGGGTTCAACCCGTTTCTATTTGCCAACCTGACGCGGTGAACAAGTTTGCGGGTTTTTTTCCCAGCAGTTTCCAAACGATTTTCGAAACGGTGGGAAGAATGTTCGGCCTCTGGGCATTTGATTCCTCTGCTGTTTTTCTGTTAATTTTGCGCTGTGCTTCTTTCACCAACTCGCTCTGCAGCTTCCTTGCTTGTCCGTGCAAGAAATAATCTCTGATAGAGAGCGAGCCTCTATCAAAGGAGAAAGGGTCCCCTTGAGGACATCCAGTCTGACCCACTGGCAACCCAGTGAAACCAACCGTGCCAGTGGGCTGCCTGCCTCCCAAAATCGCCATCTCACGGCTTTGATGCCCAGCAGGTCTTACCATTCGGGGTTGAAATCGACCGGAGTCGTCCTGCATGGCAATAAAAGTGCCTGAAAGTAAATCCATATCTGGGAAGAGAGTTTTCAGGAGCCAGGAACCCCAGTTTCAGCATCCTCCTTAAGGCACACCCCTCATTAATCCAGGCCGGGACGCTTAGCGCCTCCTGTTTCTCCAAAGTCTAATTAGCAAAATTACTATTGCAAAAATTTTCCTGGAACCCGGCCCTGTCAACGGGGATTGTGTAAACGCAACTACTTTAGCGAAACAAACATTAAACCGATCAAGATTACTTCCACAGGCAATGCTTGATTTACAACCGTTCATTTAGTGCCAGATTGAGGCACTGAAAAAAAAAGTGACTTACGACCGTTTTTCACACTTACGACCGTTGCAGCATCCCCCCTGGTCACGTGACCAAAATTTGGATGCTTGGCAACTGGCATGTACTCACGACTGTTGCAGTGTCCCGACAACACGTGATCCCCTTTTGCAACCTGACAAGCAAAGTCAAGGGGGAAGAAACCTTGACTTACAACTGGCCGTGGTGCTGAGGAGCATCGCAGCCTCCACTTGACTGAAATTCAAGCACTTGGCAACTGACGTGTACTTACGACAGTTGCTCTGTCCCGGGGTCATGTGATCACCATTTTACGACTTTCCCAGCCAGCTCCCGACCAGCAGCGTCAATGGAGGGAAGCTGGATTCATTCGCCTAACAACATCTGCACAACTCGCTTAAGAAATGCAGCGATTTGCTTAACGACCATGGCAAGAAAGATTGTAAAATCAGTTGCAGTCATGCGGTGCCTCCGTTAATGACTGCACTGGTTAGCGATGAATGTCACGGCCCCTATTGCTGTCGTAAACCGAGGACTATCATCTCTGCAAGACGTCGGTTACACTAGTGCTAATAAAATTATTATAGTTATGAGCGGAACGGTACCAAAACTGACTCTGTCCAGTGGAAGGAGGAAGCTAATCATTGAAGGGAGAAAGGAAGGCCAGCCAGAGCAAACTTTCAGAGGTCAATGGCATTTACTTCCACGGGTAGATAGAGCGCAGCCAGAACCAGATTTAGCACATAACTAAATAGAAATATTTATCTTGCAAGGGAATCCATGCCAAAAACACTGAATCAGACGGGCTGTTTTAGGACTAACTGTAAAACAGAATTCTTCTTTCAATTTTTGCTTCCTCTTCACTAAACGAACGTAAGTCAAAGGCCCCCTGTACTTGTTCCCAAACCGCTGCCAAAATTGTGATCCTGTTTGTTTCTGTTGCGATTTCTTTTTGTTATTTCTTGCAGAATAAAAAGCAACTATTTTGTCCATCTGTTTCTTATTCCTGGATCCACAACTGGAACAACAACAACAACAAAAAAAACCCTGTCGGAAACAGACAAAAGTGAGATGTTTCCCCTCTTTATTTAAAGGGGGTGGAATTAAAAATCTCCTTCTGCGTGGACAAGTCAAGATTTGATGCCTATCCTTTTGCAAAGGAGAATATACCGTCCCACCCAAAGGCTCACGGACCCCCCCTTGTCCTTCCCCCCTCCCCCCCAAAAAAAGGCCAGGATCCAAAAGGACCCGGCTGCATTGCAACCAAAACAGAGAGAACAGTGGTGCCAAGCAGGAAAAACACAAAAAACACAAACACAATTTTGTTTTCCTTGCTGGACAATCCCAAGCGCCAAAGCGAAAGTCAACAGAGACCCATCAGTTTGCAAAAGAAGGAAGGAGGCGGAGGGGCCTCCCTGCCCGCGATCCCCACCCCGCCCGCGCAGCAGCAGCAGCAGCAGCAGCGCCCACTCAGGATCCCCCGGCCAGCCTGCGCTTCTCCAACCGGGCGCCCGCGCAGCCTTGTAAAAGACTCACCATGTTCCTGCCTAGGAAGGCGAGCATTGCGCCGGCGGAGATCGGGGCTTTTGCAAAACCCGCGCAACGCCCTGCCCACCGAGCGAAGTCCGCAAGGGCAGCCGCGCTCCGGCGCAACCTGGAGGCTCTCGGCCCCGCCCGCGGCTGCTGCAACAAGAATTTGCAGCTGCTGGAGGGAGTGGGGGGGCGGAGTCCGAGACGCAACCATCTTTGGCCCGGGCATGCCCGCCCCCCAGGTTGGGAGGCCTCGCCATGCTTGGGAAGGGCAAGATCCCCCTTCCCGCCCGCAATGCAAAGGGATTGGAAGCAAGATTAGGGTGTGGATGGGAGACCACTAGGAGATCTCCGGAAGATCAAAGTGGTGCTTAGAAACCTTTGAAGTTTGGCTTCTGAAAGTTTAGAAGTGCACCAGATTAGTTAGGAGCAAAGGAAGGCAGCTCTTTTGTGGGTCAAAGATAAAAAAAACGCCCGAGCCATTGTCCTCAAGTCTACTTTGCAAGTTGCCAAAGTCCACACCCTTGAAAGAATCCATATGACTCATTTGTTAACCAAAGCCTGGCCATTCCAGACGGAATCATCCACAGGGCATAAACAATTTAACAAGGGAATTGAGAAACCCTGACCATTTTTTCCTGCAGTGGCAATGTATATTGTCTCTGTATATTAATGAAGGACGGTTTATGCATTTTAAACATTGTGCCCAAAGCAACTCTGAACATTTTGACAGCTCAGTGCATTTGCATCTTGGCAACTTTATGCTAAGTGGACATTTGCTAAGTGCCCCAATCTTCCTGATCTGGGCTCTGTGCGGAACGAAGGAATAGGAACAAATCAAAAGTCAAATTTATTTTAGTTTGGGATTAGAACAGCATGGACATAGTGGCGATACAATTTTTTAAAATGTGTTCTTGGAGAAAAAACCAAAGCCAAGGCTAAGGAATAAATCCATAAAAAAGAAATTGTTTGTTTATTCAATTTCCGTAGTGCCCGTCTCAACTAATGACTGGGTGGCTTGCAAATTCAACAATCATACAATAAATATAATGCAATTTAAAATAAATAGAATAATATAGCATAGTATATTTTGCTATGGTATGATGTAATGTATAATAGAATAGAATACAATATACAGTATAGTATAATATTATGCTATGCTTTGATGCATTGTAACATGTTGTAATGTATTGCAATATAATAAAATAATAAAACACTTATATATATATATAAAATGTGAGATAAAATTATCAGCATCATTGGAGCGCCGTCTAGAGGCCAAACAAGTGTAACGTCTTAACTTTCCCGCCGCCCTAGACAGGCGCACGTGGTGACGTCATGCACGCGCGCGATGTAGTGTTGTATGTATAGAGTAGCAACTGTGGCCCGTCGGCCTTTTCTCCCTTTGTTGGCTTCGTTGCCCTTCGCCGACATGGCCGAAGGAACGTCGTCCGCTGACGCCCTAGTCACAGATGGCGTGCCCTTGACAAACATGGCCGCGCCGGCTTCCTCTTCGCGCCTTCCTATTCGCCGCCGCCGGCGTTGCCCTTTTTCAAGATGACGGGCCGGCGGTTCCTCAGGGCCGTCAGGTGGTGAGGGTTGAAAGGCGGCGGCGGCGGCGGTTTCTCCTCAGTCCCGAGAAGATGGCCGAGAGCGAGCGGCAGCCGGGTAAGGGCCAGCCCCGAGAAGAACCTGCCCTCCCCCGGCGGGGCAGAGCGGGGGAAGGCGACTCCGCCTCCCCTCCAAGAGGAAGAACGGCCTACCTCGCAGGGTCGTCGTAACGCTCTCCCGCGTGCGCCAGGGGGCCTCCGGGGGTCTTTTGCTCCTCTGAGGGAGGAGAAAACGCCCCCTTGAGAAAAATAACATGGGGGTCTTATCTCGGGGGGGCTTTGCTTCTTCTGTGGGGAGGGGGCGAGGCTCAGGCCTGGAAGGGCTCATCCCATAATAACAAGGCTGGGAATTAGGGTTGCTGGCACACTCAGCCAGATGTTCAGACTGGTTTGGGCGTTTTATTCACCCATCTACCCTTACTAAGCAGATGTGGATGTTTGAAGGTGTTACAGTAACAGGGAGTCCTCGACTTATGACCAAAACTGAGCCCCAAATTTTCTGTTCTTAAGGGAGACGTTTGTTAAGTGAGTTTTGCCCTGTTTTACAAACTTTTCTTGCCACGGTTGCTAAGTGTACCACTACATTTGTTAAGTTAGTAACTCGGTTGTTAAGTGAATCCGACTCCCCCGTTGACTTTGCTTGTCAGAAGGTCGCAAAAGGGGACAATGCGACCGTCATAAATATGAGTCAGTTGCCAAGCATTTGAATTTCAATCGCCATGATCGTGGGGGTGCTGCAGTGGTTATAAGTGTGAAAAATGGTCATTTTTTTCAGTGTCCTCGTAACTTTGGTCACTAAATGAGCTGTTGTAATTCGAGGACTATCTGTAAGCTGTTCGAAGCAAAGCTGCCTTTTGCAATTAACTGACAGAGATTTGGTCAATGCTGATAGAAGTCAAATGTCCAAATAATACATTATTATGTTTTGTCGCACAGTCAGCCAGATGTTCAGACTGGATTTGCCATTTTATTCACCTGTTAGTAAGCAACTGGATTAGACAGATGTGGATGTCTGATGGTGTTGCAGATATCATTGCAGAATGTCAGCTGTTCCCAGCAAAGCTGCCTTTTGCAATTGACCAAGGGTGAATTTGTCAATGCCGATGGGATTCGGGTTTTCAAATAATAAATTATTATTATGGTTCTTCACACAGCCAGATGTTCAGACTAGATTTGGCATTTTTGTCCACCTATGGAGTCCTTCCAAAGGACCTAAAATAGACAGATGCTGTTTGATGGCGTTACAGTGTAGGATGTAAACTGTTATAAATCATGCTGCCTTTTACAATTGACTGATGAGGATTTTATCAGTGCTTGTGGTGTTCAAGTAGGGATTCAGTTGTTTTGGGATTGCACCAAAGGCGTTTATTGGTCCTGCCTTTGCTTTCTTTTGCCACAGTCGTTCTATTTCTATTTGCCGATCTTTGGGTTTGGTTATCTTCTCCAGTTCTTTCTGTCTCCAGGTACCGTCTTTCTTATCAACAGGGGTGAAGTCTGGGGTGTTGTGTGGCAGTCGCTTGTGGTTTGTTGCGTCGTCAGCCAGATGCTCACTCAGGATTTGGATGTTTTGTCCACCTATCGAATCCTTCCTAACAACCTGGGATGGTTAGCTGTTAATGTTATAGTGTTATAGGTCTCATCCCAGGATGTCAGCTATTTCGAGTAAAGCTGCCTTTTGCAATTGACCGATGGGGCCGGGACAATGCAACAGTCATAAATACATGCCAGTTGCCAAGTGACTACATTTTGAATGTGTTTTGGGATGATGGAGGTAAGGGGGCCAAGAGGCCTGAATTCTTATCTCCTAGAGTTATTTTTCTAGTTTCTTCCCAACATGTCAGTTCTTGGGATAAGAATAAATTGGCAGCCAATCAGCTGTCCTGCCCTTGAACTAAAATTGTGGGTATCTCAGCTGGGGCAGTTTTTGGCCTCCATATTTATGAAATCTACTTCCAAGCGTAACTCTTCAGAGCTGGGACCCCTTTGAAGCGTAAAACCTTCTTTTCTGGAAAACCTCTGCGGTTTAATTGATTTCTTAGTTGCTTGAATTGACAGGAAACCTTTTAAACAGACAAATAGAGTGTCACATGTACAAACAAACGGCTGGTGGCTTTAACCCGGAAATTTCTAAAACCTCCAATCATTAAATGCTGCCTTGAGAGAGAGAGACGTGCTGTTTAATCTCGAGGGCTGTGTTGCATTAATCCCTAAAAAAAAAAAAAAAAAGCAAAAAAAGGGGTTTCTCACATCAAACCTTTTGGGTTGCATACAAACAAAGTCTGAAGCATTTTTTGCTTAATCACATTCTTACTTAAATTAATTTGGTATTGATCACTGCTTATATTAAGTAGGGTATTAGAGTGTCGTATTGTTATATTCTATTTTGGTCTGTTTTGATACTCTGTGACCAGTAATACAGGCAGTCCTCGACTTACGACCACAACGGAGCCCAACGTTTATGTTGTTAAGTGAGAAATTTGTTAAGTGAGCTTTGCCCCATTTTGCAGCCTTTCTTGCCAGATTTGTTAAGTGAATCACTGCAGCTGTTCAGTTAGTGACATGGTTGTTAAGTGAATCAGGCTTCCCCATTGACTTTGCTTGTCAGAAGGTCGCAAAGGGGGATCACGTGACCTTGGGACATTGCAATGGTCGTAAATATGAGTCAGTTGCCAAGCGTCCAAATTTTGATCGCATGACTGTGAGGATGCTGCGACCCTTGTAAGTGTGAAAAACGGCCATAAGTCCCTTTTTTCAGTGCCGTTGTAACTTTGAACGGTCACTAAATGAAGTGCTGTAAGATGAGGACTACCTGTGTACACATTCCTTCATGCTTTTAGAGCTATCAAAACTGGGGGCTTGCAGTGATTTAATTGGGTTTTCTCTCCTTAAGAAACCTAAAACATATCCTCAGTGCAATGCAACACTTATTTTCAAAAGTTCACTTGACTTCATCTGGACCCACACCGTTTATCTCTGCCTGCCTGCAGATTTAATCATGGGAACAGTTAAAAGCAAGGGTCCTGAGGGTTTTAACTCCCGGGTGATAACAGTTAATCTCCTGCATTTATTGCCTTTTGACTGTATTTCCCTTGCATCTCACTCAGGCACAACTGAGAGACGGATTTAAAAACCTTCTGAAGAGATTTTCCTCCCCTGAAGGAAGTTGAACCTTTCAAAGATCTGTTGTAATCTGACTGCTTTTTCTTCTTCCAGAGGCCTCTGAGGAGACACAGCCTCCCCCTCCCTCCCAAAAGTTCATCATCCCTAAGAAGGAAATCAACATGGTTCCTGACATGGCCAAGTGGAAACGGTCCCAGGTACGGTTGAAAAGCTTGGCTTGGCATTCTTTGGCTCGGGCAGTAGAGGCAGTAGTGAGTTTTGCCCCGTTCTGTGACCTTTCTTGCCACAGTTGCTAAGTGAATC